ATATTAATTAGAAAAATAAAATTATTTATCAACTAACATATTTATATTTCAAGTAGTTATATGATATAAGTTATAAAAACTAATATAATATAACACATGTAAGTCATAACTAACACATATCATTCTAAAATATATAGTAATGTATTTTTTTGTAAAAAAGTAAACTAAATTTAATATAGTTTCTCATTAATTTTAAAATTTAAGAATATTTTTTAACAAGCACCCGTGTAATACACGGGTGTTGTACTAGTATATATATATATATATATATATATATTTTTTATATATATATTTTTTTTAATTATGGCATTACCGTATTTAATTTCAGGGCATATGTCTAACAAACTTTATTAGTTCTAATCCCAACTAATAAAGTCTCTATAGTATAAAATATTAAATTTTCATTTACGTTATTTGAATTATGAAATTAAATTATTAATGGACATCTGTTAAAATATATACATATATATATATATGTATATGTCAGTTTTGCTATGGAGCAATCGGATGGCTCGGCTTATGGAGCAATCCACACTTATTCACCAATACTGTATTGACACGTGTCTTACAATAAATACAATTTGAACAGGTGTCAATATATTAAGCAATGAATGACTCCATAAGAAAACAATCCGATTGCTCCATAGAATTTTTGATGTACATGTCTTGCAGATTTTACTAGTTCTAATCAAAATAAGTGAATTTATTGTGACATTTAAGTGTGCATGTGCATAATTTTGATGCCAATCTTGTGTCTTTTTAAGTTTGGATACTTGAGTTTTTAACTTAAATAGTTTTTAATGCATTTGTTAATCACACTTGTTTTCTTTAGTTGACTCAAAATTCCAAATATGTTAAAGCATATAAAATTAGAATACAAATACTAATTAACATAAAATTTATCAAGGTACAAAATGCAAAAAAAAACAAATAGTATGCGGATAATAAAAAAATAAAAATGATTTTGGTTATTCAAAGTTAAACTATCAAGTAACATTGATAGTTTAATTTTATTACGATTCTATTAATTTGATTTAGATGCTTCAAAATCTTCGTTGCCACTATCCTTATTCCCCCAAGGAAATGAAATTTGAAAATGGAAGTGGGTCAACCAGTCTAATTCAAATTTCATCTCTATCGAATTCTTCTGGATTGATATCATAAAGAAAATGAAATGGCTCGACTATCCCACCTAGCCAAGCCAGGAAAAATAGAAAATCGATTAGTACAGACAAGCATTTTACAACAACAATATCATGACTAAACGCATCATATATATCTTTTATTTAATTTGGTCCAAATGTTAAATTATCTGGCTAAATTATGTGAATCCAGATGGTTATGACCTATCATCGTGTTGTCTTCTATTATTAATTATTAAGATATTGTAATTATTAAGATATTGTAGCACAAATTTTTTCATAAGTCTAGGTGATGATTAGACGAGTCAATTCATTATATTTTTATAACAAACATATTTACTTAGTTTATATAGTAATAATCCATGATATTTGAAATGGAATAGAGGGGGATAGTTAGACCTTGTTTCTTTCTGTAGGCAAAAAAAGGATTAAAGATTTTTGAGCACTGGCAGGTTATAAATTTATCTGTCAAACCAAGGTAAAACGAGTGCGGTCCCACACAGTGAAGCGCACCACAAGATGATTAGCCCAAATAAAGTCCAAGTGAGGTTCCATCCCAAAACCAATTGGTGATGAGATGAGTAACCTACTAGGCTTATAAACTATGCTCATTTACCATATCAAATCAATAAAGGACAACTCACAAAGTGATATTTCAATATTACCAAAACATGAAGTTTAATTTATAAACTTTTTTTTTTTTTTTNNAAAAAAAAAAAAAGATTAAACATCTTGAAAATAAAAATGCAGCTTATTGGGATCATTCTTGTATAGTGTCTTACAAGGTGCTCACTGAAACTTCCTCAGAATTTTGTCTTGATAATGAAGTTCCAAAAATTTTGGAGTGAGATAACAGTTTAACTAACTGAATTTGCCCCTAAAGTTACTGAAGCTTTGACATTGCCCCATAAGCAAGTTAATAATATTTTGCTTTGTCCTTTTAATTTTTCCTCTAGAAATTCATTGATGAGACACTCTAATAATGAGTAATGCTCTCCTACCTACGGTGGACACATATTAATATACCGACCGTTTATGTGGCATGCACACGTTGGTGATGTTAATATGTTAACAAAAGTACATCACCAATGTATGCATGCCACATAAGCGGTGGACATATAACATGTGTCCACTGTGAGTAAGGGAGCATTTCTCATAATATATAAACAACACAATATTAATCATTTGATTCAGTGAAGCAATAATTGCAACATACAATAATGCTCTCATGTTACAAAATTTAGCCCACATGTACATTAGAATTTGTATGATAACAATTTTCAGTAGACTTAATCGCATGCTTTGCACTGCATTTATCGTCTTTAATCATATTATGAAACCATGCTAGGTGTCTTCTAATTCTAAACTTCCATGTTAATTCATCATTATTAACTCGTTGAACTAATAAGTAATGTAGTTATATGATTTTTTTTTCACTAGAAAATGGAGGGTTAGATTTCTATCTTTGCGGAACTGAATTTTGACAAAAAGAAAAATATAATATATTAATAATTGAATTTCTGATAGAAACACAAAATAAACCCATCATTTATCCAACAAAATGTAATAGAAAAATGGAAATATGATTTCTCATTCCCGGTGATATAATGAACATTGCACGTTCTCTTTATTCAGTTCAGAGTTGTCCTGTAAACGAGCCGAGCCGAGCCAAAGTCAAGCTTAGGGTGCTCGAGCTCGAGCCTTAACAATCCAATTTCGAGCATTAACGAGCTAAACTATAAAAAAATTATATAAAAATTTGCTTTTTTGCCTTATCGAGCCAAACCGAGCTCGGCTCGTTAGCAAACAAGCATTAAATAAGCTCGAAATCAGCTCGTTAAGGGCTCGAACTCGAACCGAATTCCAGCCGAGTCGATCCAGACTCATACAATAACCATACTCGTTCCAGCCAAGACAAGGTAAATTACACCCACAAACATAAAGTGGCTGAATTTTCGAAATTTCAATTCTTATTAAGAATTTGGCAGATGTAATGGAAAGGGCCGTTGAGAAATATGGTAATTTTATACATAGGGAGGATGGTAAAGATGATGTAATGTCCGTCTTCTTACACAACAAAGTTTGTCCAAACTCTCCGCTTTTAGGGGTACTTGTGCTTGCTTAACAGTACCTTTGTGCGAAGATATGCAAAGTACAAAAATATAGTTATTGTGAATGTACATAAGTTAACCAATGAAAAAAATGGCTCCTGCTTTTCGAGGTAACTAAGCAGGAAGTACATTGGAGAACTACAACAATTGCCCTGCGCCACAACAAAGAATAGAGAATGTATTAGCAAAACTACATCACACGAAACTGGACACAACTAAAACTAGAAAGCACAATAATTGAGTATGCTCTAATATTACATACTTTCTTGACATATATACATAATTTCAAAAATGAAATGTCGTATTCTAGACAATAAAACAAACAAAAGCATGTAATCTTAGAGCATTAGGATGTGTTTGAATTTAAAATAACTCAATCCATATTTAAAATCTAACTCAATTTTAACTCAACCTCACTATCCTCAATATTATCAATATAGTTAAATGATATATGTCAGTTTTACAAATCACATCAACTTTAATTCACTATTCGTCCACTCATATAATTTTAACTAATCATCATTCATATCATCGCTCACACTTTACATCAAATCAAATTTAATTATTTTATTTTGTATATTACTTTAATGTAAACTTAGAATCTCACTAACAACAAACCATACCACATTTTTTAAATAACTATGGTTAACAAAAATACTCGTTTTTAGCATATATTTTTGTATTCAAGCACGCCCTTAAGTATGTGCATTTTTGTTAAAAAAATGTATGACGGGTCAGCTTGCCCACCGCCACCGGCTAGGCCGCCTCATACAAGAATTCGTGCAAAAAAACTAATAATGAAACAAAAGAAACATAAAGGTAAAAATGGGCAACTTTCAACAAGTATCAGTAACCCAGCAAAACATATATTTCATGCACAGTTAGAGAATAAGAAGGAATTTTATTTTCACCTTATCTCAAAGGGGTGTATGAAATTCAAAGTCAAGTAAATGCAAAAATCCTATCTGCAATCTTTGTTCGGCAAATTGGACACTCCGTACAGGCAAGGGAACATGTCTTACATACTGCAAGCAGTGAAACAATACTACATCAGTTGAGCTCGAAAAAAGAAAAAAGAAATAGAAAAAAAAAAGGAAGGAAAGCATTTCAATCAGGATTGTAATTAACTTACAGCTAAAATGTCGACATGGCAGAAGCATTGCGGCTGTAGGAGATTCAAAGCACACTTTACAGACATGAGAATTCGTATCTCCATTCCCAGTGTATCTACGTTCTTTCTCTTTCATCTCCTGCATTCGAGCCTAAATGAACTCAAAACAAAGAGATCACAAGTTAGACCTCATAACATTACTGATTAGGAATACTAGCACAAAATTTAGGGTCAAGTTAAATTGTGCTATAAGTTGATGAATATATGGTTAGCAACCTATAAAATGGCTTCAGATATGCCTTAAAGTAGACCTAAATACAAAAAATGGAACGTATGGTTTCCAATACAACTTTAGAATCAAGTTAAATTGTGCTAGAGGCTGTGGTAGAAGAAATTCATAATTTGAAAAACGTAAATTAGAAAATAAATAAGAATGCACCTTAGGGTTATGTTTAGTAACTAAATAAGCTAGCTTATAGCTTGTTTGGTTAGGTTATAAGCTTCCTGTATTCAAATAAGATTCGTTTGGTAGGACGAGCTTTTTAAAAAAGCTCGAGCTAATCTCATAAGCAGCTTTTCAAATAAGCTCCTTGAAATTTTTATTCCAGCTAGTTTATCAGCTAATTTTATCAAACACTTTTATGATATATGCTAGTTTTTCAGTTATAAGTCATAAGCTATCAGCTATAAGCTGCAAAATCACTAATAAGTTATAAGCTTAACTTATCTATTTTGACCAAACATCGCCTAAACCAAAGGAATAATAACTCACTTTCAGGCGCACGACGAGAGGTTCTTCTTTGGGAACAATAGGAGCTGGAGCTGGAGCTGGATTCGGATTATCTCGACTCTGACAATCTTCAATGATATCATTGCAATCAATGTCACCAATTTTCACATCACTCGTCTCATCAGCATCATCTTCATTCAACCTACCATTATTATTCCTAAATTCTTCCTTCACGACAGTCGCTTCTTTCTTCAGCCGAGCAACAAGCACCCACATGTTTGCCAGGTCATTCTCCAGGGCAGCTTCCCTTTTCTTCGCTTCCTCGAATTTTTTCCTGTACTCATCCTCCAAATTTTCCTTCTCGGCCAATGAGGCCTCTAGAGCAGCTTCCCTTTGTTTTCTAGCTTGCAGCTCCATTTTCAGGTCATCCGGATCGAGACTCCACGACTCAAAATCGCTCGAAAGGTCATTTGCTCTTCCAGAAAGACGGGCTCTTATACGATTGCTCCTTTGAGCATCGTTATTTTTTCGGTTTGCGTTAGAAGATCGAGAGCTCAACTCGCGAGCAGCTTGTAATTCTTTTTCCAATTTAGCGTTTTGGATGGAGAGCTTGGTGACCTCACCGGCTAAGTTCTTTAGCTCGACAGCTGCTGCAGATGCTAGTTCTTTAGCATAAGAAGCTTCCTCGGATAGCTTCTGATTCTGTACGTGCAATCCACTATTCTCTTCTAGAATCTGGACATGCTCGAGTTTGAGCTTCTCATTCTCAAGTTCCTGCCAATGGAGAAGAAGCAGCAGCTTTCAATCATGGTAAAGTAACAAAACTCAAAGGCTGTAGCTTGTTAAGGGCGTGTCTGTATACAAATATATCCGGGTTTTTTTCATGATTAATTTTGAAAAAGTTGGTATGGTTAGTTGTTAGTGGGATTTTGAGTTTATATTAAAATAATAATGAAAATAAAATCATTAAAGTTGATTTGATGTAAAGTACGAAAGATGATGTGAATTGATGGCCAGTTAAAATTATGTGAGTGGATGAATAGGGAATTAAAGTTGATGTGATGTGTAAGAGTGTGATTGATTAGTATTATTTATTTATATTGTTCATATTGAGGATAGTGAAGTTGGGTTAAAGTTGAACTAGTATCGTGGCCCGTGCAAATGCACGGAACTATTAAAAATAAATGAAATAAGGAAACATAAATAGAATAAATAATTTTCATATGCAATTAAAATAGACTACTAAATACAATGTTTATATTTGCATATTTTATTTCTCATTATACATCAGTATCTTGTGTCTTTTATTTGTAACTCGAGAAGCAACAATGTAAAGTTCAGAATTAAAAGCCTAAAAGTAGATTCCTATATATATATATATATATATATATATATATATATTCTTTAGTTTTTTTTATTAATAGAACAAATTGACATAGTATTAACGAATTTTTTAATATAGTTTTTTTTATAGTTTTTTATATAGTTTTCCATAAATTTAACGAATTTCTTTCTAAAGCTGTTATTTATTTAATTATTTTTTTATAAAATCTAACGATGTGGACCAAAATATATTGATAAACGAAAACTTGAGTAACTAAATTGATTTAATTGGAACATCATGTACTAAATGCGCAAATATATATAGTTGGGGTATATGAAAATACTCAAATTATTTTATTATCTTAACATATTTTATTACAGTTTGTTTGAATTTATCATGTAATTTAGATCGTATTTTGACACTTGAATATATTATTTCTTACTTGTCTGGTTTTATAATTTATAATGTAATCTTATTAATTAACTATTATTTTCTATTACATATACTTACAATTTCTTTATTTGTGAAACATTCTTTTATTTAAATAAGTACCATATTATTATCTAGTATTTTCATATTTTTAGGAAGACTTTAAATATAAATTATTATTTAACATACATCATAAATAATTCACTGTGATTCAACATATCATGTACATGTAAAAATAAATTTACTTTTATATTAATGAGAAATCAAAACAGACAAAACATTTTAAAATGCCTATCTATAAATGGTAATAACAAATTTAGGTTCACTTTTACCATTAACTTATTATTAAAAACGAAAAAAAAAATTATTAACAGAGGTTGAAGAACATTTAATAAAATAATAAAAAATTGAAACTAACTTTCCATAAATAACAATATAATGAGGGACCTACTAAAATATTTACTATTTTTAGTAAGTGGGTTGCCTAATTATATAGTAATAGATTCTATTTTAAGTATGAATTGAGTATGGATTGGATTTTTTAATAAACAAATACACCCTACATATGTAAAATTGTAAAATCTAAATCAAGAATCCCTTTGAAATAAAGATACAATAAGATGCAAATATTTGCCAGATTTTTATGCACATTGCCAAGTTACCAATGAAATGACTAGAAAATTTTCATTTCAGTTACATAGCCCAAAAATTTTGAAAGACAAATCATTTCCTCATAATAAGCCATCACCGAAAGATGAATCAGGATTGCATTACATAACAGCAAGAAATGTGGAGTATGAAGGAAGGTTTTCCTTCATGTGTTGATGACGTCTATTTCACAAAATTTTGCTATTCAAGGTAAATAAAGAAAAAACATTACCAGAAGAAATCTAGATAAAAACTTGCCTGTGACTGAATTCTTTTTCGCAATTCTTCAGTAAATTCATCGGTTACATGATTCTCAGGAATTGACCTATTGTCACTGGAGACTGAAGCTAGTTCTTGCTCGAGGCGGTTAATTTTCTCTTCCAATTCCTTATTTTCTGCACACTATAAGGAAAAAAAAAAGAACAACCACTTTATATGTATGAGTATGACAAACAGCTGGAAATGATAAAATACAAAGACATGATCCTAATTTAGACACTGTTCTAACTTTTTTGACAATGCAGGCAAAAATAGATAGTTTACCTTATTCTGAAGCTGCTCTTGAAGCACACGATTGTCCGCAGATTTAATCTAAATAAATAGTAAAGCCAACTTAATGAATGCTTCAAGAAGAGGCAAATACAAAAATTAACCATGGAAAAAAAAAAGAATAAAAACCTCAAGCTCAAAGCCCTTCTCACTGCACTGTGCTTTCAGTTTCATGACTGTCTGTTGCCAAAAAAAATAAATAAATAAATAAATAAATCAACAAATAATACTTGGCCTATTTCAAATAAGAAGCAGTGACAAACACATATTCACTATGAATAAAAGGAACCTGCTGCAATTCAACCAAAGATGCATTAGCAACTGAAGCTTCACCACTCTCAACTATACGCTGTTCTAAAGCTCTCATCTGCTTTCGTTTTTCTTGGATTTCACACTCCAAGTTCTGTATCTGCACATTTGGATGCAAAGAATTTTTAAACTCAACAACTTGTTATCAATAATTTCAGCAAGTTACGTGGAAGTTAGAAAATATAAACCTGTTTCAATATTCATCTTAGAATACACCTTTAGTTGCTCATGGTTATGCAAAAATATATATATATATATATATTCTTTCCTTCCGAGAGATACAAATTACTCTCTGTACAGTTGCTGAGAATGAGTCCTACATTAAATTATGTTTCTGGAGCAACAAAATATAGAAAAGGAAAGAACCCTTTGCATGTGGTTATAATAAGGAAATATTTAAGATGTGGAAGAACTTTTATGCTTTTGTTACTAAGGGAGAAATACAGTAATGATCAAACAAGTGAGAGTTTTTGATCTCTTAAAAGGAAATTATATTTTACCTCCTCAGTTCTTGAGTTTTCAGGATCATTCACAGACTGCTCCAACAGACGCTTTAGTGTGCTGGTACCAAATGCAATCTCTCCAGCAAGCATCTTCACTTGCTCAACAAGGAGGTCCATATGATCTGAGACAGTCACTTCATCCTACAATTCATGGACAAAATTACCAAAAGGAGTTATTCATAATCCTCAAAAGAAACAATATTCGAAAATCTAAACCTGAATTCAAGAGCTGAAATTGACACATTAAAGATCTATTCAGAATGACGTGCTCCCGCTTCAAGAGCGAACACAAATATAGCCAAAATTAATGATGCTTTGACGTAATGTATTATCGACAGTAACATTGGGCAATGCAGTAGGTAGATTTTTTAAAAAGAAGAGGAATTAGAACATACTATAGGCAGTTTTGATGCACAGAAAGAACCACTAAAAAGTTCACCCGCTTGAGTTGTTTCAGTTATAGTACTGCCAGCTTGGGAAATATCATCATTCCATTTGCTGTATGATCTTCTATGTTTAAAATGATAAGCATCTGATGCAATAGTTATAGCAGAAGATGAAGAATCTTTTTGATTATCGCCATCAAGTTTTAGAGAAGCATCACGTAGAACATCCAATTTCTGTTAGACAAAAGAAGATGAAAATGGTGAAGGCCACACAATTTTATTTTATTTTTTGCTTTCATATACATTTTAGATCATATGGAAGCTCAAATGTATGCATCAATCACCTAACAAAAAGAGATACAGTAATAGTGTATTTACTAAACCGATATTTAAACCAGAATCTCATAGTTCAATCATTTTGAGAAAAAATCTTTATATGTGAAGAATGCGAAACCAAGATGCATATATTTGACCACATTCAAAAAGACAGTAGAGACTAGGGTTAAATTGGCTGTGAATTTGATTAGCTATATTAAATTGTGCAATGTAGTTGCCCTATGTGAACGCAAAATGAGCAAGTGAAGTTTTTTCTGAACACACGCAAAAATTCATGTCAACCAGAGGAAAAGCTACTTACATCATCCTCGGAAGCAGAGTGACTCCTTTGGTGAGAGGGCATGTCGCTCAAACTTCCTGGTATTGTGTTTTTTGATGACACAAGAATTAACTTTGTTAGCCTCTGAATTCTGCTCATTAAAGCTGACTTAGCTTCTTCTTCCTCCTCCAATCTTGATTGCATTTTGACTTGTCCTTCTTCCAACTAATAGAATGAGCAATCAGTCACCCAATCAACAAAGTTTTATTTGCAATGATGCAGCAAGTAAATTATGAGTCAACTTTCACATAACTATACTCCAAAAGTTATAAATACCAAGATTCCTCAAATGGATTCGAACATACCTTCTGTCGCAAAACCATAATTTCTTCATGGTTGACGCCAACAACCATTCCCCGCTTAAGTTGATCAAGTTCATCTTTTAGTGATGATATTTCGCGTTGATACTTTTTGATCAATGATTTTTCGTCAATTATCTGAAACATTCAAAAGAAGAGTCATGTCATTAGTGATCACCACACTGAAATAGGAATCAAACCCAATGCTTCACAAAGACAAGCTTACCTTATTACGTGAAGCATTTATTTCAACACGCTTCGCCCTACTGGCAAACTTTAATGTGTTATGGGTTTCCTCCATATTACTTGATGCAGGAGTGATCGTACAGATAAGCTGAGTCAAAAACATTCAGCAATCAGAAGCCTTTCAATAAAACTTAAGGATAATGCAAAATTGAAGATTAACTAACACAACAATTGGGTACAATTAAAAAGAAACACCAAATGAGAAGTAAATCAACAACAAAATGGCATAGCTTGATTTGGTATTCAACATAAATAAACTATATGAACGTAAATATTTGACGCTTACCGAAACATGCCCATGCCCACTTAGTGATGACTGTAAAAGACGAGTAAGCTTCGAGTCCCGATAAGGAACATGTGATGCTTTTCCTTCACTAAGTTTCCCAATCACCTTTATATCGAGTAAATCCAAATGTCAGTGTGGAAAAGCAAATAGAAACAGAAATGTAGAAAAACATTTTAGATAAGATATTATGTTGATTTGTGAGTAAGAATGTGTTTCTTTGAGTCAGTTTGCCATGTTACATTACAGGTACAATGAAAAAATTGTGCAAACAAAAAAAAAAAGACATAACATGCAATGGAAGATGGATAAGGACAATTAGAAACAAAGAAGAATTCAAGTGAAGTACATATACTCACAGTTCCAAGTGTAAGAAGACTTTTATTGATGTAGGATCCTTCCTTTCTCCTTAACCCAGTTGTTTCAGTTTTTGAGCTCTCTGATCCAGCTAAATCGATTAAATTCTATAACAATAATGAAAAGCCTAACTTAGGTTGAAGTCCAATTATAAAATTGGGAGATCTTACATTTATACAAATAAACAATAAACACTGTTTTCATATTCTAGATAACAGCTAATACGCGTACCAATTGTGAGAATATAACCCCATCGTATTCATCTCCATGTGCACTACTTTCAATCATCTATATAAAACGAGGATAAATGACCATTGTGAGAAATAAAAAATAGGAAACAAATGAAGAGCATGAATAGAGAAAGCAGACATAAATAAATAAATAAATAGATGAATATCTGAAAACTCTTATTACTGTCAACCAGATAATGGAACGGCCACATGGATCAGAATAATGAAACTGTACACGATGTCACAAAAAAGCCACAGGAAATGTCCAAGTAAACAGCACACAAAACAAAGTAAATAGAACAATTGTAAATGATAAAATGACCAGAATAAACTTACCAATGTAAATATTGTGTGACTACGGCTGCTGAAGAGGTTAAAGTTATTTGAACCGACATGACGATGCTCTGCAAATTACGTTTGAATGAACATCAATACATTTAGTACCTATGTCTAACTAACAAATGTCAAATACAACAAACACACCTCTGATAAACATTAGTATTTAATAATATATCATATATGTATTTTATTAACTCTACTGATTATGACTTCTGTAATTAAAAACGCACACGTAAGTCAATAATCACTTCTTCAAGTTGTAAATAACCTAAAAAGCAACATTAAATGATAATAACTTAATTAACATCAAGGCTTAAATGATGTTTTATTGTTAAATCAGAAAACTGACCCATGTGACCATGTCAAGCAGCAATAATATCTAATGAAATAAATGACCGCATGCGGATACCTTCTCCTGCAGCAATAAATGAAAGGGCGTGTCCAGGTGATAGAACAACTTCTTCCTTTATACCCTCGACATAAGTTCCCTGTTCACATTCCCAAAGGCTAGTAAAATGAGATGACTAAAACAGGAGAATCTAATGGGGTCGAATGAAATATTGTAACTGGATAATGAGAAAAAGTTCCATCTAATAGATATTGTTACTCCACGTGGTCAATAAAGTATTTTGTACATTTATTGTTTCAATCAAATAATAGATAGAAGAGGAGAACAAAAACTTGAATGGACCAAAACCATGTTGAGAATATGCATCTGATAATCTGATGTAATGATGACAGCTAAAAAACAAATTTAAAAAAACACAAGAAACTTCAAAACGGAGAAAAGATAAAGATGAGAGTCGAAAAATAAAAGAGAAAAACCTGTGCGTCCTCTCTAACACGCAAATTCTGGCCAGTTGGATCCAGCAAGTCATTAATCACCTGGTAGCAAGAGAGAGAAAATCGAATCGAGGGCTTAAGTACATACGATTATAGAATGAAGCCAGCTAAAATGACAGCTCAGCACTCAAAGGGCATAAATCACAAAATATCCTCTACTGACCTCATTGTAAATCTCGAGATATGACACTCGGAGTAAGAATTCACGACCTGGAGTCTGAAGCAAAAATAAGACCAGTCATCGGAACATCTGTTATCCAATTGTTGAATCTCAACATATAGTTGAAGTTTGAAGAAGCAAACTTACATCTTGGATGATGCTGAAAACATCCTTTATGGCCAATGGTATGATACCCGGAGAAATTTGATCTCCCTGATAAGATTTGTTATAAAAAAGGCAATAATTCATCAATTTGCATTACGCATGCCCAATTTGACAAGATACCCATATACTAACTTTGGATCCCATAAACAGGAAAAACAAATTCAAATGCTACAAAACATTAACCATAAAATTGAACCTTATACATGTGTTGAAACATATCATGGTCACGTGTTTGGTAAGACATTTTGGGACATTACTTTTAAACATTATAACCTCCTAAACAACATACTAATTTGATGGTTTCAGCTATCATTTAAACCATGAACCAGAAATGCAAGTAAGAAAACGACACGATGAGAAGTGAACTCACATGCATAGTGTGTGTCTTTCCGCTGCTGGTGACTCCATAAGCAAATACAGTTCCTGCATATCAACTCATGTGGTGAATTAAATGTGAGTAAAAGTTCAAAATATAAACCTTGTTACGAAGAATTGCTTAAGGATTTTTTTTTTTTTCTCAAGACAATAATCAACTTGCAGCAATATCACGTTCAAAAGTTGCTCATTGCTACTAAAGTATATGAACAGTAACTGATCAATTGTTTTGGATAACAAAGTAAGCACACTATATCAAGGTGATCATACCATTGATACCCTCCATTGCAGCCTTCACTACAGGTCGAGCAGCTACTTCATACACCTCTTGAGTATTTGTATTAGGCCCAAACACTTTATCTGTCATCCAAGAAATAAAAAATACTAATGGTATGAGCTCAAATTATATCAAGTGCCCCAGAGTGTCTAAACAGTCTAAACAGTGTTCTGCTTCAAATCATGTCATCGGTTTAAATTCTTAGCAGGTGAGCACACATGATAGAAGCCTTACCAAATGCGTAGGCAGTCATCGGGTTATACTCATTTCGCACAATTTTGTCACCATCTGCATACCAAGAAACCTCATCTCCTCTATGATATTCTCTTTCACTGAAACACAACAGCTCAAAACAAGTTAAGAAAA